CTTCTGAAGCATCATGTGACACTGAAGACAGGAGAAATGGCTGATTATAAAAATTTAGCTTTGCTTTCACAGGAATAAATTACACTTTAAATTAGGGCTGCACGATAAATCGCATGCGATATTTAACGCGAATCTTGTCAGAAAGCCGGTTCTGTAATCAGCGGTAAATCTCCATCACGTGCGTGCTTTCACATTGAGCAGCATTAACTACACAGAGCCGTTGTTCACTGACGAGCAGCGCAAAACCACGTTCATATTCGCGCGATTTTTTGCACTGCTCGTCAGTGAACAACGGCTCTGTGTAGTTAATGCTGCTCAATGTGAAAGCACGCAGGTGATGGAGATTTACCGCTGATTACAGAAGCGGCTTTACTGATAAGATGCGCGTTAAATATCGCATGCGATTTATCCTGCAGCCCTACTTTAAATGGAAAACAGTAATTTTAAATTGCAATCATATTTCACAATATTAATCATACAAACCCCAAACTTTTCAATGATTCTCTATTTTTTCCCTAATATACAATGCGGCCCAAAATTCTGAAACCACACTGAAATTATTTTTTAACCATGCAAAAATAAAGTATGATATTCTAAAATTTGTATAACTTTTTCCAATTCAACTTTTCACTCAAATTGCAATTCTCATCATATAATTTCTTGATTTTTTCCACCTGCATTTTCATGGTCTGAGACTCGGAGTGCAAATTGTAAATAAGAACTACTGTACAAGTTGAAAAAAATAAATAAATCAGTTGAGTCCTCTGCTAACATTACCGCTCCATTTCCTGATGACACAAACTAGCTTCATGCACACATACTCATCCTAGTCTGCACACACTTAATGTGGCATGCAATCGGAGACAGTGGCGGCTCGTCGGGGGAGGCAGAGCTTCCCCAAAATTTTGAGGTGAAAATAGGAGGACGATGATTAAATGTTATTAAAATTCACAATTCATTTCAGTTCATGTCTCAGAATGTGTATTTTTTGTTTGTAATTTCACAGCTGCAATACCATAACATGCTACTGAAGTTGGAAAGCGCTGCTTTTCTATCGCGAATGTGCCGAATCTGCTGATGTATTTACAACCGCTAGTGATAGAGAAGGGGAGGGGGAGGCCAGGGGAGAGCTCGTGCCTCAGTTGGTAAAAACAATAAGCCAATCAGCATCGAGTGTTCACTTTCAGCGCTGAGGAGTGTTGAGAAAAGAACCCTGGCAGGGGAGGCTAGCCTCCCTTCTGGTATATCAACCAATCATCATAGAGACGTAAATTACGTGATATTAGTTTGAACGTCTCCCGCTGCGCTGATAATGTACCAAGTACTTATGATGAGTAACGATATTGAATATTCGATTACCAACAGATTTACCAAGCTGTCATTCAAACAGTATATATACAAATTAAAAATAAAGGGAGAACACGCCTAAGATGGATATAGGCTAACGTTACAGCAGTCGGCTCTTTTAACACAGACTTTTAAGAAGGGATGGATGTTTGCTTCAAGTGATAGGCCAGGTAAGTGAAATTATATTATCTTGCTGTACGTGTGTAGTTTTCTTTACGTTTTCTGACTAAAAGCAACCAAAAAGCCATTTTAAAGTGGTTAAGCAAATAATAATAATAATAACAACAATAATCGGGATCCCCAGACCAATACAATTAGTGTGCCTCCTCTATTTTAAAACCCACGAGCCGCCTCTGATAGGAGAAACCTTAAAGGGATAGTAGACACAAAAATGAAAGTTCTGTCATCATTTACTTACTTATTTCAAACCTATACGACTGACTTTCTTCTGTAGACCACAAAAGACATTATTTTAAAAAAATGTTTTTTTTTTTTTTTGTCCTTATAATGAAAGTCAAAGGGGTCCAGTGCTGTACTTTCATTGTATGGACAAAAACAGTTTCAATATTATTCAACCTATCTTCATTTGTGTTTCACAGAAAAAACAGGTGTGTGTGTGTGTGTGTGTCGTGTAAATGACATGAGAGTGAATAAAAGATGACAGAATGTTCATTTTTGGGTGCTTTGAACAGAGGAAGACTTGGATGAATGTCTTTGTTGCGTTTGAGTAAAAGAAGTAGTGGCAAAATCTGAAGCATGTTTTTGAAGGCCTATGAAGGAGACAATTTACACTACTGCATTTTAAAGATCCCTTTATAACTTAAAAAAATAAGCAGAACCGTTTCTGTGCATACTTGAGAGCACAGACAGCCCCTTTTAGCTCCCTGCCTGAGACTATGGGGGAAAAAAAGTCAAGCATTCTTGGCAAGCGACGCAAGAATGTGCTGAGATTGGAAATGATTTGAGTTCTCAAGGGGGCTGTGCATTTTTTCATCCACTGCGTGGTTCAAACAGACCTCCTGTCTGTCCAACATTCCGACAATAGGCTAAAGCGTGCCATCGGAATATTGCACAGAGCAGCAGTGCCGTTAACAAACGCTGGGTGAATTCAGCACAGTGCTGTCTTCTCCTCTTTTTTTCACACCCTTGTCTGATCTTGCACCCCAGAGACTCAATAACTTCACAAAACAGAAAGCTGAGCACAGTTTTTGCTGGCATTCAGCAGAAAGGTGCCTCCTCTTGAAAGACGCAGCCCAGTAACACAAGAAAGAGCGCATTTATCCTATAATGAAATTCTGTTTGCATTTCAACCCTTGAGTTGTAAGATATGAGAGGTTTGGAAGCTATTTCTTCTCATATAGCATACATTTATTCATTGTATGGAGTGCAAACAGATAATTGCCACAGAACACCAGTAGCAAATCGAAGAGTGCTCATCAAAAACCCCGTTCACTGGAAAATGACAAAAACAGGTCTGAGATCACTGAAGAATCCTTAGATCCTCACGTGCAAATTGTGTGTGTTGTGTTTTAATTTTTATGTTTTTTAAATTAACTTATAATCATTTATTCACATAATCATTAGTCATTCATATGATTTATTATTTGATTATTTTTATCATTATATTATGTAAGTATTTTTGTTTATTCATTCAATATGTTTATTCATTTATTATATTTCTGCATATTATATTTCTTTTTAATTTTCCCTAGCTTATGCATTTTCATTGTTGTTCAATCTTATGCTTGTGTGTGTGGGGGGGGGGGTTCATGAACTGTTTTGTCTGTATGAATAAGAGATGGATAAGAGGGAATGTTTATGGAAACCCAAGGTTTATGGGATGTTGCTGTGAAGCAGTTTTGGTATAACAGTACATGTTGAATTTGTGCTGGTCAGACGAAGTTTGAACATTGAGACATACGCAACTAAGATTGTTCAATAAACAATTACTTCGTCTCCTGCTTCTGCTCTTCTCTGGCTTTTCTCGGTCAACTTCTTGACTGACAGAAGACTGTTAAACACTCATTTTGGGTATCAACTGCTCTGCTGACTAGTTGTTCTGTTACTGGACAAACTGATATTTTCTGACGGGATCTGGCGTCTGGGGCTTGATCCTAATTATTATCTGGCGTGGAGACCCGGTCTAACATCACCATAACTCTACGCCGATCATGACACATTTAACACTACCTAGAAATGTTTCATCAACAGGCTTCTATAAGCTATTTTATAAACTGTGGTTCTCCTCTGAGTCAATCTCCTGGCCCATCAGAACATTCAGGCTGTTTCCAGACGACTATGTGGAGGAGGAAGTGGCAGAACGCTGTTAGTACAGCTGATAAGCGCAAAGAGTACAGCACAAAACATCTGCCCACCATCCCACCATCTACCTTCTGCTTTCATTAGGTGGTTGCTTCCACTCCGTGCCAATCAGCATCTAGATTATGCAGCCAAAATTGAAACCAAGACCGAAGAGAATGTTCTAAACTTCTGGAGGAAGGTTTTGCATAAGATTTATAAGACAGTTACGTCACAGTAGTTCTGAGGAAATTACTGCATGATTGTTTGAGATGCATATGTGATTACCTATTATTTGGAACCTGTAGGGCCGATGGTGGCTTGCTAATGGGGAACCACAGTTTGTTGGTGTCTTTTTGTAAAGCGGATAAGATCAATACACAACTAAGAGGATGTAACAGCCTTCACAACAAACATGACAGGGCCTGAACTTCCTCTCAGTTCAGGTCATAGGCACAGTATAGATGACGTTGCAAAACACAGTAGTGACAGTATATACAATGTTTGCTTATTGTGCACTGATTATTATCTGTTTAAATGTTCTTTGTTTCACCCAACACAAAGACACCCTGTCAAACCCGGCTCCCATGGAAGAGTTACAACATGCCAGCATGAGACGAATGTCTTCCTTTTAAACATAGTAATATGCAGCATGACATCATTTTAAACAACATGATCTCAGGACTTGAACTTCAACTGATTCCACCACATGTACATAAAAATGGGAAAATCCCCTACTTTCCACCCTTTCTGACTCTAAGACAATGTTGGAAACCTTATGAAAGCCCCTATGAAAGTTTGCAGAGACCCCAAGCCCCCTGGTTGCCCTAGTACAGTGATTTCCAACCAGGGGTATGTGTACAGCAGGGGTACTTGGCAAGAGTTCAATTAAAGCTCTTATAAAATTGCTAATAAATCAAAACAAACATGATTCTTCTCTTTTGATACTTGAAGGAAAGAAAACACAAGTTCTATAAATACTGAAAAGGACTAAAAAGAGTTGGGAAACACTACCTGGGAGAATAACATCGCTATGACGTCACAATTGCAAACAAAGCGCGTCACATTCAGAATTGTTACTTTGACGCAATAAAGCTGGTGCTGGTGAATCAACACGCCACGGAGGCGGCAGTAAACATTAAATAGCAGGCTGTCCATCTGTCTGGACGGTCTGACGTGAATTGTAGGCCAAGTTTATGTCGAACAAAGAGGATTTAGTATGGCACACTGTCTAGGGTGAGATCATGATGATGATATGTTTATATTAAAAAGCAGTAGCGTGGACTCGAGGCACAGTGTATTTTAGTCAAAAGGTAAGTTTCTTTGTTTATTCTATAGGTTTTTCATTAGCTTACCTGATATGGAGGTGGCGGCTCCTGATCCGGATCGTTGGCGTCACCAAAACTGGCCCTGTCTGACTGTGATTCTTGGAGCAAGGAGATATCATCCGAAGTGGGAGATTTCAGACAATTCCCCATCTCCTTTCCAAACTCCTTGTTGTCTAGATGTTGAAATCCTGTCTATCCCCTGCTTTCTGCCCTTAATAACTCCAACCAGAGTTCCGCCCTTTTAAACAGGATGACTAAATCTCTATCATTCATTTAAAATGATCCGATCATCATGAGAGATCGTGACGGAGAAAAACAAACCATTGTCGATACACAAAGAACCCTGGCAAAAAGTGTCAGATACGGATATGAAACGATGTTTTTGTAAACACATACAATCTAAACCTGTCAAATACGTCTATTTGCCCTGAAGCCGTGGTATGTAGTGTTGTCCTTTTCTCCTCGTCTCAATAATAATAAACACTGGTTAGCCTTCAACGGATAATTTCTACAATATCAAATATGCGCTCGCTCTCAATGGCGACTCAGGCAATGTTGCCTTTCAGGCAGTCATTCTAAGTCCCGCCTCCGGGTTGGTTGGACCAATCAGCGGATGTCTTCTTTAGTAAGGACGTTATTAGTGGTTATTCGTCACCCAATCAGATCGCCGATTTACAACACCAACAACAGGGGGTTTAAAAGCCTGTAAACTTGACCGCATTAGGCCGATTTAAAGGCATAGTTCGCTCTATATTGAAAATTCTGTTGTAATTACTTAACCTCATGTTGTCGCGAAAACCCACGACCTCTTTTTTTGTGGAACAATAAAGGAAACATCAGGCAGAATGACAGTACCCAGTCACTATTCACTTTCATAGTTAACGTTAGGTAAAACGATGTGATGAAAACGAATGGCGACTTCAATTTTAAGTTTTAGTAATTTTTTCATGTGTATCTGACATTTTTTTTGTTTTGAAAATATTTTTTAAATATATTTAAATATAATATTTTTCAGGTTTAGTTGTAATAATTTTAGTGCTTTAACTTAAACATTTTATTGCATTTATACATAAGTATTTCAGCTATTTATATTTTATTTTGTTATACATGTCATGTGAGTTTTATTTTATGAAAACTGTTTTTAATAGATGTGGTTTTAGTTAACAGTAGCAATGCTGGCATTAACTATTACAGATGAATACAGTGCAGCCAGTATGTTTTTATTGATTACAATGTGCCAGACTAGTTTTATTTTTGTAATATAATTTTAAATCACCCTTTTATGTTTTGAAGACATGACGATTCATCAGAAATATAGGACTACATTTAAATATATATATATATATATATATATTAACCCTGAACAAAAGGAGATGTTCGGCAGGATGTAATGTAGATTGACAGCCTCATTCACCTTCATTTTTCTTCCATACAATGAAAGTGAATAGCAACTGAAGCTGTCATTCTGCTAAACATCCCCTTTTGTTTTTCATGGAAGAAAATCAATGATGACAGAATGTCGATTTTTGGGTAGACTGTCTTCTATGGAGCCAGGTCCCTTAGATCAAAAAAGGAAAACAAAAGTGGTTTTGGAGCGCTATCATATCATTTAATTTTAAATTAGAAAATGTAAGTTCAGTATTTACATGAATGTGTTTACACAGTAGCCATGCACCATACACAGGATTTGCTGACCTCTATAGCCCAAAGCCTGTAAAATCAATCTAAATCAGGAAGAATTTCAATGAGGGAGAAACAAAAGCCATTACAATGAAAAACCCATATATCACTCGTTTTCAAACATTATGTTTTGCCACATTTGAAACACAGCATGTTACAAATTGCCTGTGAAATTTCTGAGCAAACACAGCATGAGCAGATGATTGTTTTAGCTTAATGTAAATTTGACTTTGGTAGAACTGGATCTCATAAAACAGGCACTATACAGATTACATTGCAGAAGAACAAAAATCCATGGACACATTTCAACTAATCTGGGGTAAATTACTATAAAACACACAAGCCTTGAAGTGCAGGACTGTCTGATTAGAACTAAATCTGAAAATACACTGCAGTTATGTTTAGTAGGTTGAACTCCAGACTACAGGGAAAAGCTCTATGAAGTAGCATTCATATATTGAACAAAGTACAATCCTCTGTCCTGAACCAGCTCAAATTTTCTTTCTCTTCGTAGTGCAAGGCTGTAGTGGTTGTCAATGCATCCCTCACGTTGGCTGGAGCTGGCATTCCAGCCTGTCCTGCATGTATCTAAAAGACTTGTTTGTTTGAGCTCAAGTACGATCTGGACCAAGTCCACATGAAGGAGACTGCCTTTCTAAAAGACACATTCAGCTGCCCACTTAAAACGGGACAATTTTGAAAGGCGCCATAACAGTGAATAAATACTAAAAAAGAAAGTAAACCCACAAAACTTCCAGTTTACATTCGGATAGTCCTTTTTTGCTGTTACGAAGATGCTTGTTTTCTGTCTTTTTAACACATTGCTAAAACAGACTAATTATGTACACGGAAACACAAAGATAATGTTATATGATACAAATTAAGCTTAAACAGGAATCCTGTCCATGAGATTTGACAAGGCCACAGTACTCTAACCAAAGAGTAGCCCATGATATCAAAACTTACGTTCATCATATCACCTCCGGACAATAGGCTTAATTTCATAACCTATTTATACTCCAAGGATTAAAAGTAAACTAATATTTGTGCACATGTGCTTTAAATCCAAATCTAGCCGTAAGGCACAGACATATCTAGGCTACTGATGTCACAGGGTGACCAACAGTGGAGAGCATTACCAACAAGAGCTTCGAAAGCAGCCAAAATGATTGACAGATGACCTTACTTTTGTTCTGAGTGACAACGTTCTTAGCCTGATGTACCAGTATAATATTATTGGACTGATGTAACTTTTATTATATTAGTATTATTCATATGGTACATTTACAATATTCTAAAAGCACAATGTTATTTATATGACATCATAACAGCATGATGTCACTTCTGTGTTCTCACGTAACATTATTCATGCAGCTGTTGACCATGTACTGTATAATCTCGGTGCGTGTCATTCAATGAAGATGATTTGTCACTATAAGCTCAGTTCGGGTCTGATTGGTCATGTGCCCCTTTAGTCCTCCTCTTGGCATATGGCAACCCACGTCAAGCCTGATCTTAGCTTGCTGTGACCCCAGCGATGACCCCAACCGTTAAGGTCTGGAGGGTGAGCATTCTCCGTTCGCAGCTGTGCCTCGTGCCTTATGTAGTGCTGCCTGGATCCGGAAGTGTGTCCGTGATTCCATGGAGTAGTTTTTGTAATTTTGCCTGGCAAAGAAATCATGGTTAATAGTGTTCAAGACTAACAAGGCAATGACTGGGTATATCATGTATCAAATAGGATAAAGGTATAAAATACACATCAGATCAAACACAGTGTTTCAGGGTGAAATATGTGACTGTTGTGCAGAGCAAAAAAACGTTATATTATGCTACAGTGTTTTACATCTGTTTAACAGCCATGATGTGTGACGCTATTATAAAATAATAATAATCAGTTGTGAAATTGTTTACATTGAGTTGATGACTGAACGTGCTGAATGCCACACTTTTTTGGTGGGAATATAATATATCTAATGACATCTTCAATGGCATCTTACAGTACAGTTAAAGCAAATCAAATTTGGGGCCAGTTGCATAAACGTAGCCTCTGTGTTAAGACCTGTGTTAAGATCTAGTCTGCCCAGTTAGGGGTAATCAGTTTTATTTTTTGGATTCAATTTAGACTAATCGACGTTTTTTTATGTAACCAACATTCAAAAAAATTATGACCAGTCTTAAAAAAATTTGATGATTATGCAACCATGCCCTGAAACTAAATTATGCACAGACATCTAGTAAACAGTATATCTAATGCTAATACAAAATTCTTATTTTGAACTTTTTTACTTTTACTTTATTTTACTACTTTGAATTGTTTATTAAAAAAATAACTTCCTCTGAGATTTGAATTTAGGGGGTTTTTTATGTCACAAGGCAACATTTACAGCAATGTACCATTCAGACAATTTATGCGACCTGTAAATCATTAAATTTTATAGCATAATTTCTACTTTCTTACATTTTTACTTGATTTTAAAATATATTACATATTAAAATGATTATGAAAACTAAAATAAATAAAATACATTTTAAAATAAAAGTAAATTATTATAATTTATTTAAAAGTGAGGTCAAAACTTATAAACATTTTTTTGAGCAGTTGGAATGATTTTCCATGTCGAACAAAGCCATGAATCTATCTTTGAGACTGTGTTGTAAACAACCATTAATTTTAGCAGCGTTGCATTTAGTTAGGGTAAAGTGGCAAATCTGTGCCTGCTTTGAAATTCCAAATTCTCCCTTAGGTAATTCATCCTGACACTTTGACTCTGCAAATAGGATCACTCCACACATTATGTACATTGCTATCTTAGAGGTACAAAACATTCACTGTCAGGACTGAACTTACTTGGCTGCCTCCAGAAGTTTGATGGCCTCGTCTATTCTGCCCTCCTCCAAACACAGTAAACCATGTTCCAGAAGAGCATTGGGCACCAGATAGTGGTCATATTTAATCTGACTCTCACTGTACAAGTACAAACGCAAACAGAAAAAGAGCATTTGTGATTGAAGCTATGTTTAAAACATTTTCTCTGCTATCTGTGACATACTACATTTTAAAACATGTAATATTTCTTATTCTGTGCAGTGAAATCACAGAACACGTCATTTTACGAGTGAGACTCTTTCCTCTTCTGTAGAGTCAGTAAAAGAAAATAGGCCATGTCTACTTAAGTTTTCACAAGAAAAACCACAAACACTTCTCTTTATATTAGTGTAATTTGTTGTACAGCAAAAGAGCAAAACTGACTTGCAGAGGACGAGGGTGAAGTAATGTTCAGCTTCTTCCTTGGAACCCAAGTGTTTGAGACAGAGCCCCTTAAGCAGACTAACCACACACTGGTCATCTGTGGTGAACTCGGTCCCTGAGAGCAAACACACAGAGACATTTATGTTTCAGAAAAAAAGCTACATGTGATACAGAGAGTGTCTGTGTTGATGATTTGTTTTCAGTAGAACACTGTTACTTTTGGTACTCATGGTCATTAGTAATAGTAGTGGCAAAATATCATTTGGAATGACATGAGGAAATAAATAATTGCATTATTTTTGGGTGAACTATTATTTTAAAAGTGGACACCAGCATAAGCAGTACTGCATTGTTTGGAGAGAGATTTTACTTGGATGTTGTTCAAGCGTCTGCTGGGCCTCGTCCAGTGTTTTCAGCATGCCCTCTGTCAGGTCCTTGTGCTTCCCAATCACAGTGTAGCCATTCCAGATATACATCATCTCCTGTCGTGCAAACATACCCTCACAATGAGTACGAATTTAAGACTGCGTCTTGTCCAGGTGTTTCCCTTTGTTTATTTTGCAGTGGGATTAAATAAATCAGGATGCTCTAATTCCTTACTCTTTGTTAATTAAAGGGCTTTTCACACAGGACATCTTCTTGCATTTAAAAATAGCAAAGCGGAACACAATGAAACAGAACAGGAAGCACGTTTATAGACGCAGTACACCATTGCCAACGCACATTATTAGACTCGACACATCTGAATAGTAACTCAAAACGCAGTGAGACACAAAATGACAGCCAAAGATGCAAGAACACATCCTGTAAATACAGACAGCAAAATCTGTATAAAACTGAACACTGACCAATGGAGGTGCAGGAAGAGGAATGGCATTATCTGTATTATAGCGGCGAGCTTTTCTGATGGCAAACTTCTCTGTGGGCAGTGACTTCCCAGCTATTTTCTGCTTCAGACTGGGAACTTGCCTGAAAAGTGCAAAACGGGTCACAGTTTGCATTAATACAGTAAAGTACATATAATGTCTATTATATTTACAAGAGGATGGGCTACATTAGATGTTCAAATTAAATATGAGATTAAATATTAGGTCATTTGTAATGCTTGCGTGAACTGAATGGCATTACAGTACAGGCTGCATATGACATAAATGACTTTTTCTTGATTTTATAGTCATGTTGTCCAATTTATAGATTTATATTTAATCATGTGAACAAACATGAACATACATGCACACCATTCCCTTGCCATTACCTAAACAAAGCCACCTCATTCTCCCCGAATGGCTGGCATTCCTCACGACTCAGCATGCTGAGGTAAGCAGCTTTCATATACGCATATGTGGCCTAAAAAAGTGTGTGTGAGAGGAAAAAAAAAAGAGCGATGAGTTCCGAACTGCACAGTAAACACAAACATCCCTGCAGGAGATTAATTGTCCTCAGCCTCCATTCATGTTATATCAGCAGACCTTTTAAACCCAGAGAAAAATCTTCAATTTGATTAAAAAGTGAATATATATATATATATATATATATATATATCTCACTTCTGTGAGATACTGTACGTATATATATATATATGAATAATGGAGCCTTGGTGAGCGTAAGAGACTTCTTTCAAAAACTTTTAAAAATCTTACCAACCTCAAACTTTTAAATGTAAGTGTATAAATAAACTTGAAATTTGTCCCATTTTAATTCCATTTCTGCTTTCTTAAATTCATATTTAAAATATACTTCTACATCATTCGCTAATTCAAATGTAGTCACTTAATCCATTCGGCCCTGAAAGGCACCCACTCTGTTTTACATATAGATCAAGCAACTCTTCAGTGCACCATTCAGCTGTGTATTTTAAGGTTTCACCTTAGACCAGGCGTTCTCTTTGCTGAGCAGGTCTGCATAGAAGTAGGCCATCTTCCAGTGCCTTTTATAGGTGAAACACCACATCAGTTCCCAGTAACACATGTGATGGAACTGCTTCCAGTGCTGCTGAGCTTCACAACACTCCTCGAAACGCTTGATAGCCTTAAGAACACGCACATCAATACATGCACACAGGCAGTTAGAAATAAAATAAATATATATAAATAAGAACTTAAACAAAAACCTCCTCTTTTTATGCATTAGATAAGAGTAACTTATCACTTACAGTATCCAGATTTCCTTTAATTTCCTCTATTCGACCAGCGAAGAACAGGAAAATGGATCCCTGAAAGGAACACAGCAGTTGTCAAATATATAATTCACACTCTACTATTAACAGCGATTGCAGCAGCTGTTCATATCCTAATGTAAAAGAGAATGTGAGTGTTTTGGGATTTATCACTGGAAACTCGAAATTGGTGGTCAAGTACCTTCGGATACTTTTTCAGATAAGGCTGCAGCAGTTTTTCTGCATCTTCTACATCTCCCTCTCCAGTGCCTAAAGAACACACACATACATGCAATGAGATACCAAATAACACAGTGTTACTCATGTGCTACATACAGTATGAATTGAAAATGCGATTCAGAAGCAATTTTCTCTTACCTAAAATGAAGCTCATGAAGGTGTGATAGCAAAGCAACAACATGTTACACAGGAAAGACCTAAATGTGTGCTCAGCAGAGCCCTCCTGGAGCTGCTCAAGACCAAACTCCTAAAACACAAAGATATATACACAGTGTTAGTTGTAGAATAATGTAACTGTAGAACATGCCAAAAGGAATAGTTCACTCAAAATTGCAAATTTGCTGATTTACCTTAGGGCATCCAAGATATCGATGACTTTGCTTCATTACATCACTTGCTAACCAATCAATGGGTCCTCTGCAGTGAATGGCCATCATCTGTCTGAACTCTCATTCTGATGGCACCCATTCACTGAAAAGGATCCATTGGTGAGCAAGTGATGTAAAGCTAAATTTCTCCAAGTCTGTTCTGATAAAGAAGTCAGAAGTCAGAAAGAGCTTTATTACCAAGTATGTTTACACACACAAGGAATTTGACAGGAAGAAACAATCCCGTCTCATCTACATCTTAGATGGCCTGAGGGTGAGTACATTTTCAGTAAATTTTTATTTTTGGGTGAACTATTCCTTTAAGACAGACACAACACACAGGAAATCATTCACACTTCTGTGCTTCGCTACATTCAGACAAGTATAAAAAAAACATCGGCATGCACCTTGACACACTTTATTGCTAAGACAGACAGAAAGAAAAAATAGCCAAGCTCAGATGAAATTTCATTTGTACACGGCAAACGTGAGCAGAGCCAAACTAAGCTTAGTACTACACAATACTCACTTTGTTACCAGAGAAGCCCACAAATTCCAACAGCCTGAGAGTCCGTGTTGGCAATAACGACAGCATCTGGGAGAAACACAGGTGAGGGGTTGAGAACACAGACTTGTCCTCAATGAACTCTATGCTAGGATTCATAAATACTCATGGTTTGGTTTAAGAGAGAACACTAGAAGGTATTTTAAGGCTACAACACAAGAAAACATATGATATAATGTTCTCACCAGGTTAAAGGCCCCGACCCCGAGCTTAACACCTCCCTCAAAATGACCATGATTGTCACCTTGAACATAACTTGAGGACTTCAGGACCGTATGTAGTTCCCTTGAAATTAACACAAACACACATTAAAATAAACATACAGATAAACTTATGGAAGTGTGTGTGTGTAAGTGAAAACACACAAAACCAGTTCTTCTGATTAAGAAAAATTAAGCAAATTACATTGTAAACATTAAAACTCAATGTTATTATTGGCAATTATTATTTTTTAAAGTTTTAAATATGTAAACACACACACACACACATATATATATAATATCAAATGAATAGCTTGAATGCACTATTATTTGGCCCATTTAATTCAGAAACCATTTTACTAGTACACACTATTGCGTTTAGGTCTGCTCTAAGTTAATTAATAAACAAAAATGCATGTGCAATAAGAGCTCATACATATCAAATGAGAAGGGCAGAGGAAACCGTTATTTCACAAGTCAGTATTTTAGTATTATTTATGTACTGTTATAGCATTTATTAATATTTTGAATTATCTTTTATTTTTATATTTTAAATAATTTAATAAGTTTTAGTAATTTTATGTGCCATTGTCATTTTTGTTATTGCATATTTCTATTTATTTGTATTTATTTCTATTTCAGCGTTAACTTACTTTTATTTAAATTTTAGTTGCAGTAATTTTAATACTTAAACTTTTTAAAGATAGGTTTTCCATCTAATATTTATATGTGCTTTCATTTCAGCTATACTTTGATCATAATTTTTTATATATATAGTTAACAATAACAACACTGCAACAGGCCTTACTTGTATATTTGATAGCTGTTTCTCACTTTCATTCCTCCCTTTATGAAGCTAATCATATTTTCATCCTGAAAGAAACAGTAAATAAATCTTAAATAAGCAACTTAACTTTATCCACAATTATTTATTTTACTCACATACATAATAACAGGGCAAAGTAGATGTAATATTAGCAGTAAAAGGGAATCCACCACTGGGACAGACCTGCAGGAAGGTGAGTGCTGCCCTCTGGAGGAGGCATTCGGCATAGCACACTTCAGCGTGGAGCTCCTCTGGGAAGGACACAAACGCAATTATGCTTTCAGAGTATCTAAGCATGATGGGAGTATGTCACATGGCCTTTTAAAAAAACAGCCACATGATATGGTCAACATGGGTTGAGGAAGTGATTGCATAAACTACTATCATTACAAGAATACGTCTTTTGTAAAAGATCTCAATGTTTGCATGATATATATATTTTTTTCTACTGATGCATCCTTATTGCCAATTAATCATTTAGCAAAATATGTATATAGGCACCCACCTTCTGTAAAGGTTTTGCTGTTGAAGGTAGACTTTTTACGGTATCTGTAAAGACAAACAAAGCCTTATCAGTCCTGGCCTACAACAACACAATGATCCATCAGTAGTGGTTACTAGGTAACACGCTCAGTTGGCTGAGGTCAGCCTTGTGCTCTCTGTTACAGTCCTACTGTGTGAAAGCTGGTAGACAAACGTGCACACAGTAAAAAACTCAGCTTGATTCACTGTATCCCTAAGGCCATATAAATAGAGCAATTGGATCTGAGGAGGACACAATGGCTGTCTGGTTTCTGTCTGAGTAAACGGACTCCCCTCTGAGGGACAAACATGAATTATTCAAAGTTTGGCTTCAATTAAATTTACACAGATACAAGACATGCAGATGAATGCCGGGGGGGCTAAGATAAGTAGGCCATGCGCACCCTACAAAGTTTTATAAGTGACAACCATGGGTCTGTGTATTTATGAAATACAAAGTCACAGCAAAGAAAACAAGCTACATGGATGTTAACAGTTTAGCCACTGAGCAACAGCCAGGCATTTATTTTAGCACTTTATTTTAGTACAAACAACAGAAGGAGAGTGTTTTTTTAATGCTTTTTAAACTGCTGCTTTTAAATGGTGTAAATGAACAGAAACTAGAGTTTGTGGAACAACAGCAGGGTAAAAACATAGTTATATATATATATATATATTTATACAGTATGCCTGTATAAGTTAAATTATACATTTATTTTACTGGGATTTTGCTTTGTCTGTCATCAGCTATTAATACTTGATTTAGTAATTTACATTAATGACACTTTAAAAATACTTAAGTATTAATGATATCAAAAGTCATTAATACATTCTGTAAAAGTTTACCTGCGGTGAACTAACCCTGTAAAAGGGCATCTTCCCCATCTTACTGTCTCCCAAATACCTGATTTATTTTATTATTCCAGTTAAGATCAATGTAGTGAAGAATATACAGTATATATTGTGACAGAACCAGTTTACTGTCCTGCATACGTGGCGCCTATTATTTGGACCAGACAATGTAGCTGAAGAGCAGCTCTGAGTGTGTGTGTGTGTGTGTGTTTGTTCAGGTGACAGTGGCATTCCAGTGCTACAGGGCCTGGATGACGTGGCAGAGTCACAGAGGTGTGAGCTGCCTGGAAACACAAGCATACACCAGATTGTCACACCCCCCAACACAGCGTGTCATGGGTCTCTGAAATTCCTCAGAGAATTCCTGAAATTGCCATCTGGGATGTGGTGACAGCCCTAGACCTGCTGCACTGTGGCATTACGTCACTAATACAAATGTGACATAACCAAGAGATCCTGAAAATAGTGTATGGATGTTAATAGTTGAAAATAGTGTATGGCTGTTAATAGTAGGGCCTGCGCCCTGAAATAGAATAAAAGCCCATGGAATAAAAGTACACCTGCTAGAATGTTACTCTCTGTTTCTCTCTCTCTCTCTCTCTTATATAAATATTTCAAATGTAATTATTTTAAATGAATTGACAGCCCTAATATTACATTTATATAATTAAAATAAATAAATAAATATTTCACATATAAAATAAGTGAAAACATAAATAAATTCCATTTTATTTTAAATTAATGAATTAAAGACAACACACCGTTGACACACAGCCTGTGCCTCTTTCATTGTGTTGCCTGCAGCCAATATGTCCTCCGGGTCGAAGGTCATCATGGCCTGCATTTCCAGTATTGTGCCATACGTAAGCGCATGATACATGCTGTCTTTATTCCTGCCAAAGAACACAAAGGAAGACGGTGCATTAGATCTATATATAGAACAAAGGAGAGGGTGGTGTAACAGTGACGGTAAAAGAAAATTTACCACTGAGACACTCAATAACATCATCAATAACACAAATGAAGTCTGGAAATGGATGAAAGTGTTTGAGTAACCTGACCATCCTGAACACAGTGCGTCTTGTAACATAATACCAAAAACACTAATACTAATGACATTATGAAAAAGTAAAACTACCAGAAAACACACATTGTCAATTAAAAATGTGAATACAGATTTTGTTAAAATAAAATACACTATTATTATTTACCTTATCACAATATTTTTTTGTAAGTAAATTCAAAGTGGTTAAAAGTGCTTTAAAAAGGGGTCATATGATGCTGCTAAAAAGAACATTATTTTGTGTATTTGGTGTAATGAAATGTGTTTATGCGGTTTAAAGTAAAAAAAACACATTATTTTCCACATACTGTACATTGGATTTGAGACTTAAGTCTTTGCAACTTTACAGATCTTCTTTATGCACCAAGAGCTTGTAACACTCTAAAGAGAAAGGAAAAAATGAAATCGCATCATATGACCCCTTTAAAGAACATGCATTTTTATGCAGGTTTTAACTTCGATTTCGCTAAATTCTAGAAAGGATTAAACTCAATTAAGTGTCTATTTACAGTGCAGTTTCAGTTCTTTCAGGAGCTCAATAGAATGTGACACTACTAGTCCAACATTCCTGGGTAGAGAGATGTCTGGATAAACAGGTTTACCACTCTTTCCTTTACACAGGTGGAACTGCAATAACGTTGGCATGACGGGAACAGGAATGTGGCATATAATACATCCTCTAACCCAGGAGTGTCAAACTCAGTTCCTGGATGGCCGGAGCCCTGCAGAGTTTAGATTTAACCCTAATTAAGCACACCTGATCCAGCTAATCAAGTCCTTCAGGCTTATTTGAAAACTACATGGAATGAGTACTGGAGCAGGGCTGGAACTAAACTCTCCAGGAACTGAGTTTGACACCCCTGCTCTAACCAAACAATAAATTGAACAATATACCATGAGGGCAACACACATAATGCATGTCAAAATCATACATAGAGGCCAACTTTTTGTCTTAGAACAGGATAATTATGCATTTCTGAATGAGCTGATGTGTAAAAAGTTTCAATCACTGATTTTTTTTGCGAACTCTAAAGGGTTATGAGTTAAAATGCTTACGGAACAAAACAGCTGTTGACATGCAAACGAATATCAGGCGTTGAAATTGTGTTTGTGCTGTTGCTGTTTTCCTAAAGAATCACGAACACTGGCCAGAACTCCTAACCAATCTGTATGCATAATCAGTAATTATCCTTTCAAAGTCAAATCAGATGTCCTGCAAAACACAGCATCAAGAAGTGTGGAAGTAGAGACAGAAGCTACTTTCACACAGCAGCAGAACACAGCTGTCAGCCCTATTTGGAGTGCTGTTCATACTTATTTTAGTTATGAGGTCTGTTGGCCTTTCAGTTTATAAAACATGATAAAAAAGTGGTTAGAGAGCCACAAAAAAGTCCTATTTAAGAAATAGTCCACTGTGCGATTGCAGAAAGATCATCTCTACTATCAGCAGAGTTGTTTTAAACTATGAACTTGTACAGACATGGATTCTAATATTTCTGCTTTCGAGTCTCTCGTTCTGCCTCTGTTTGTAACTTTCTCTCTTGTGCACGTGCACCTTTCATTAGCTCCATGCATGTAGCAGCCCTGCCGGCTGGAATGGGGTGGGACGTGACTAAAACAAACCTATTAGGTAAATCACAAAACTGTGACTTCACTATTTGCATGTTCAAACAGTGAGCAGCAGAAGTGAGATCCTCTGATTGTCGAATCAATTACTTGCTGAACAGTGCGTCTATGTTTATGTATTATGCATGTTTGAATTGTACACATGAATGTGTCAAACTAATATTTGGCCTGATATCCAGACTTTCAGATGAAACGGAACTATTTAGCAGCAGTGTCCAAAATTAACACTCGTGAGAGTAAATATAGCCTCTGGTGAGTAAATAAGTTAGCTTTATTAGGAACTCTAACATAATACATGATTTAAATTAAATTGTAAACATTATATTCTGACCCTCATTTAATAAAATAAAATAAAAGAGAGAACCAAAAAAATAATCACCATTGCAAGGTGTGGCTTAAAGTTCATTTTGGATCCTGAATGCAACCCAACAAAAGTGGAGTGACCCAGGGGACAAAGATGGAAAGATGGCAAAGATTACAAAATGGACTGAATAATTATATAGTTTATAATACACAAAGGCACACACCCATCCACAGCTGTGAGTAGTGAGGAAAGCAGAAATGCGAGATGCTATAAGACACAGCATATGCATGAAAACAAGGTGTGGTGTGAGAAGAAGAAAAGACCTAGAGATGAATCTCCAGAGAGCTGAACTCATTCAGTAGGTTTTGGGTTATGTGAGATTTACCTGAGAAACACCCAATGATTGTGGATGAAGACTCGCCTCACAAAATGATGTACAAGAACAACTACGTAAATTAGTAGATTATGCACTTGCTTAATGGATAAAACCAGATACAAAACAGTTCAAACACTTCATAAGATTCAAAAGGGATTAAGAACAGTGATTCAAACGGATTATGAAACAGTACAATCCAAGGTTTCTCTGCCTCACACTCAAACACACAAGGAGGAAGTAAAAGAAATAGAGCCTCATTGTGTTCTGAGGTCTAAAGTTCCATAAATGTTCCAAACCCAGAACCTCACACAAAAACAGTAAACAGCAGGTCAAACCCATATTGTGAAACATACAGGCGGTCTTACCTGCTCTTAAGTCTGGTCAAAGCCTCATCGAATTCATTTCGCAGGAACAGATCCAATGCCACCATGCAGTCTTGAAGAGCCACTGACAGGTCAGATTTCTCCGACCTAGCACAAATACAGAAAGAAAAAACAACTAAATAAACAAATGATAATTTCCAAAGCCTCTGTCTTAAAAGAATAGTTCACCCCCAAATTTTTTTTTTTCTAAAAAACTTCATACACTCAGGCCATCCAAGATGTACATGAGTTTGTTTCTTCATTGGAACAGATTTAGAGAAATTTAGCATTACATCACTTGCTCACCAATGGATCCTCTGCAGTGAATGGGTGCCGTCAGAATGAGTGTCCAAACAGCTGATTAAAAAGTAATCCACACAACTCCAGTCCACCAATTTAACATCTTGTAAATTGAAGTCGTGAAGTTTATAACAAATAAATACATCATCAAGATGTTTTAATTTTAAACCGTTGCTTCCGGCTAAAATAGGAGTCATCTATTCATAACATTGCTTTCTCCAGTGAAAAGGCCTGAATCAGGAGAGAAATATTCACAGACGGAAGTACCGTTTACAAGCAAAAACAGTCCAAAACAGATTTTGATGTGAAAGGACAACAGGGTATGGATTTTTCCACTGGAGAAAGCATTATTATGGATTTTAGACTGGTATTTTGGCCATAAGCAATGTTTGAAAGTAGGGCTGTCAAATCGATTATCATGATTAATCACATCCAAAATAAAATGTTGTGTTTACATATATGTGTGTGTGCTGTGTATATTAATATGTATATATAAATACACACACATACATGTAGCCTATATACAAGTATATAAACAACTTTTTTTGACCTATATATATATATATATATAATTGTTATTATTATTATTACAATTATTATATTATTGTTGCTTTTGTTAAAATAATCACATGGTCACAAGATGAATATTCAGACTTTTTCCCCAGTAGTCTGTTTTATTCAAACAATTATGAAAATTTTTGCATTTAGATACAGAAGAACTTTGCCTGTTGAATATTAAAAACAAACAACTGAACAAACAAAAAATCTGGATATCCATGTCTGCCATGCAAATCAACTGTTCCTGCTCATTCCCAGACTGGATCTCTTCTCTCCACTTTCCCTAATTGCAGATTCAATTATTAGATCTGTCAGCATTAATATTTTTATACTTAGATTTTTAAAAAAGTATATTTTCCATGTAGTTTTTGTCCTAACCACCCGCGACACGTGACAGTAAGCGACATGGGATTCTATTTTAGGAACGGTTTTTATTTTCTGCGATGTCGCGGCAGGAACAACATACAAAATATTACCGTGATAATCTCAGGTAAAGATTGTGTGCTTTATTCAATGTTACAAGTGTCTAATGTGAGTTTGAATATTACTTTGCGCTATTTTTATAGCCATAGTGAAAGCAACAATAGATATTTTACCTCCGATCTTGAATATAAATTAAAGCAAACTTGTACGTTAAAACTGTGAACTCACTGCGAACCAACACGTGAATGCCGTAACAAAGATATCAGTCACTCACTCAAAACTGTTCAGTCCATTCACATTTGAATCATCTATTTTCCGTGTCCACTTTTCTTTTCTACACACTCGCCATGTTTTTGCTGTCACATCGTATCTACACTGGACGCGACAAAACATTGCAAATCATTTGAACGAGTCAGCAGTTTATCCAAGACAGCATCGATACGAGTTAAGTTAATGTAGCTTTCTGATGCTGCGTTTGAACTTTCATGCCACATTATCTGAAATTAGCGCGGGCCAAACTTTTTTCTCTCAGGGACCGGATGTGGCCCGCGGGCCGCCTATTGAGGAACCCGCCATTTGGGACAGGGCCATTGTACTCAGTCTGAGGCAACACAACAGCTTGTGAAGCAGCTCAAGGAAGTAGAGATCAGGTGACATGTTTGACAGGAGACAGGCTCACTCAGCTTCTGAGAATCTGCAGAAAATCCCCCCCCGCCCCAAAAAACAAATTATACTGACTCCAAGCATTTTAATGGTATATGTATAATGTTACAAAAGCTTTTTATTTCAGATAAATGCTGATCTTTTGATCTTTCTATTGGATCTTTCTTACTGCTCAAAAACTTTAGACTGGTAGTGTATGTAGTGTCGTCTTCTCCTCCTGCCTTGCTCTTTGGCCCGCATCACTCACCGCAGAGCAAGCCTGTTCTTGATAAATCTGCTGTGAAAACGTGGGAAATGCCGACGAGGAAGAAGTTGGGGTGATGCGATCTTTATATCGGCGGAGCAAAATACTTCATCGCTCCGTCTATAGCGCATTGTGATTGGATGGTTTACTCTGTCAATACAGGAGACAAACCAATGGGCCACTGGCTGCTCACTGTCCCTGCGTGATGGTCCTCGGCAACAAAAAAAACAAAAAACATTCTGTCGGCCCCTTAAGTGCGTCGGCCCACCGGGAAAATGCCGGTATGCCCGATTACCAATCCAGCCCTGACTAAGGCACAGGTGAGTGAGTATCTGTAGTGTCAACTGAAAAAAAAAAAACACTGGGAATGTGAAGAGGAAAGTGTATAATAATAATGAGAAGAGGAGTGAGTCGAGAAAGTCTGGGAAAACAAAGTGTACTATCTATTGATTTGTGCATAAAAACACTATACTGACAGAGTGCTTATGTTTCTTAGAATCCCTATAGTGCCTCTCTAGAGGTTTTGCAATTAAACAGTAAAGCAGCAGCCTTTTTTCTTTTCTTCATGGAAGATTAATGAATCACATACTCAATGGGTCTAATTCCTAGCAATCTAAAGTGGCGTTTACACCATCAGTTATTCATTTTCAATCAGTGATGATGCAACAAAGTTGAGCAGGATTTATACCCTGAAAAAAGTAATTTCCTCCTCAGTAAACAGTATTTTTTTTTACGTGTTGAGATGAATATGACACTGACTTTTTAAAAATGTTCAACTAATGTGCACTAACATCTCCAGTCAAACCAGTGGCCTAATAAGTTACACAGAACAGGATGCCTGATGGGGGCTGCCATGTTGTGTTGACTATCACATGACTAGTCAAATCACAGAATAAATTAACCTTGGCTGAAGCGGTGTCCGAATATGCCTAATTTCATACTATATAGTAGATGAAAAACAGCATGTGAAAAGAGTAGTATGTCCAAATTCATAGTATTCGAAAAACAGTAGGTGAAAATTACCTGGATGACCTACCACTTCCAACGAGATTCTGACGTAAGTATTCAACAGACACTTTACTATCCCATTAGGCCACGAGAGAGTATTTGTGAATGGCAGTAAAGCGTCGCAACTGATGCAGATGGACTACATCCAAATTTAATGTATACTACCGATTTTCAAACTATACAGAACATAATTTTTAATGGACAAGAAGTAAGTTTCAAACCAAATAAAATACTAGACAGCATGTGATTTCGGACTAAGTGCTAGAAATATAGATTAGAAATGTGCGAAATAGCACATTTCTACAATGGCAATCACATGTGGTGTAAATTGCATACTAACTTGTGATGGCACCACCACCAGTCCTAAACTTCTAGCAACTATCTTGAGCTGTGATGTTAAAGGCAGCAGACAGGGAAAAATATAAATCCATGACATTCTTAAAAGAGCATAAAAATCTAATGGTTCAATATTTACAATAATGTAATGGCATACATATTTATATGACATACTAATGGAAAATGTACATTTCTAAGCATATACTGATAAACACAATCATCATTTATGAGAGAACAAAATCAGGTCCACTGTTTCTTCAGACACATGATGAGAAGACAACTGTCTCAGAGATGAACACGATCAAAGCCCATTGTATCTCTATATAAGGGACACATTCTTCAAATTACAGCACCATTTAAAATTAATTTCTAAATTGAGTTGAAATTTGTAATGGTCCTGACCTTGCCCTGCTAAGATTATAGCATGCCTCCTAATCTAATAAAACCCAACAACCTCTTACAGTTCTTCAACTCTGAAACATTCTGCTGAAAACAACCATTATAGAGCGATTCTGTATGTCGACAAATGAACTGGGAATTGAGAGTATGTAAAAAGACAATGGCTTTGGCCATTCTCCACTGAAACTAATCAAATCAATAAGTGTGACTAAATGAGCGCCATGTCTTTGCATTCCAAATGACGGCCAATACAGGCGTTCTTTATGGGATCTGCTTAGCCAATAGCAATGCAGCTGATGGTTCGGGCTACTGTCAGACCTATAGAAGGACAGATCGGCTTGACTGTCCGGTCTCTCCACCTCCTAATGCCTGCCATATGACTTCAATGCTGTCGTCTCTTGCTATTAATGGAGCATGGTTTCCTACTCAAACAATAAGGTCTACAGCATTAAGTCATAATCTGTAAGTTTTACATAGGTGGTATACATTAAACAAAAGCTGGTCATCTTGTAGTCTAATGCCATTTAAAAGCCAAAATGCACATCAGCACTGCTGTTAGTGATAATAATGGAAATTTAAGTGTGCAAGATCATTCCCCTGTTTTTACATTTAGATGACCTTTGCTGTAATTTAATGATCACATAAAACAATTGTTTAAAAGTATTGTTTTGAAATTGGCTGATATCAGATTGTAATGTGTTATTTGTTTTTCAGACAAAAATACAATAGAATTTTAATATTTGCCATTTTGGCGACATCATAGAAACAGAAATATTGGTTTATCTCTATGTTATTACATGTTAAAAAAGTAACTAAAATATAATAGTGGTTATATATATATATATATATATATATATATATATATATATGCATATCAACATGCATTAATCAATAACCAATAAATGATCAATATTATAGTACTGACCATGTTTTCACCTACTTTTTGTGCAGTACAATGCCCAAAACGTACCTAAACTTAGTAGACATAGTTTTAGATTAATGAATGAATTTACTGGTCCCAAAAAATCTAAGCAAACCTTATATTTCCATGAGTAAAACTATAATACAATTAGCAACCATCAGCTTTAAGCATTTCTCATCCCCCAGAGGCGGAACACAGAGTGAATTTCCTCCCTGATGCTGATATGTGATATCATCAGAGCTAGATGATTTGAATGAATGAAGAATAGTGCATGCTACATTGAGCCTGGCTAGCAAAAGGAAGTGGTCTGAGATTTGTTCAGAAGCTACAGCAGAGGTAAAACGAACCTTTGCACTCCTTGTACCCTACAGTGCTCACAAACGAATTGTGGTGATGCTAAGCGATTCTGAAGAGCTGATGCTGCCCGGGGGCTAATTGACTACTGATGATCATCACCGGAATGATTGGAACAAACAAGCTGACTCTAAAACACACACACACATGCACATGCTCAGTGCTAAGAGACTAACACTCCCACAACAATTACAAAAAGCTGTGCTCTACACTTTAACAAATGAATTCTACAACACAAGCAGCTCTGAAAGCAAGGGCATCAAACAATTACCCGTCTAATATTTCCAACTAATATTTCTAATATTTTGTTTTTCTGGTTATGCAGGCTGTAAATGCATTCTCATGTTGAGAACAGTTAAATAGTTCTCAATCACTGCTAAAACACACATTCGCACAATAGCACACTCTCAGCTGTGTGGCGTTCTTACCCGTTTGACAGAGTTTCTGCCTCTCCTGACATTTTCATCTGGTACAGTGAGATCGAGGAGTGCAGTAAAGCGAGTGAAAGGAGGAATAAAAGGAGAGAGAAGAGACGCAGAGTAATTCAGTGTGTGTGTGAGAGAACAGGCCTTCGTACTGGTTCCTATCAGCAGAGCAGCAGCTTCCCTCTGGCTACAGCACACACACTCTCACTCACTCAAGCTGCAGAGAGGACAGCGGGAAAGGAACGCAGAGCTTAATAAGATTGGGATGACTATCACACAGACAGAAAGTGAATGTTCTCATTGCCTCTTTCTCGCTGTCTCCTCGCCTTCTAACAAACACACACACACGCCACCTCAGCCTCCTCCTCTTCTCAGTATCACCCTCATGCTATACACTACATCCTGGCCTCTGATTGGTCAATGATGCAATGGAGGCGGTTCCAATTTCTTAAGAATCCACCTAGCAAAATACTCCTAAAGTGGGCATCACGCTTCTGCAGTCAAGTGACAATCTGAACTCAACAGCAGTCAATAACATTCAACACAATGACAGGACTGTAAATCAGTGTTCAACAGTGGGGATCATGAGACACAGAGGACAGATGCAGACCGCAGAATCAGCACAAGGAAGTGACATAGCCTGTGGCGTGTTTAGGAGAAGGGGAGAGAGAAGTTTATAGAAAAAATGGATGCAAGATTAAATGCTTCTATTTTGCATACTCTGGAGCCACATGACAAAGCTGATTGGCTGATGAAAGCACATCCTGAGCTGTGAAACCAAACGCAGCAGACAGGAAAACATTCAAATGTATATGGAGCCAAAAATCCAGGTCAAAAGCCAGCACTGGTGAAATATGTACTGTAAAAAACAAAATTTAAAATACAGTGCTGTTCAAAAGTTTGGGGCTGGTTTTTGATATCAGTTTATTATGCTCACCAAGGCTGCATTTATTTGATCAAAAATACAGTAAAAACATTTACCTCCCCTGAGTAGTAGGTGCTAATGTGAACTGATTGAGGGAGATTTTGTAGACATGATTTGCAAACCTGCAGATACAGTATAAATCAATAACTTGCAACCATCAGTTTTTTACATTTCTGAAGAAAATGCAAATGGTGTTTGTCCATGCAAAAGGTTTTAGCACATTGCTTTGATTAGCTTATCTGCATCTAGAGCAATAATGTTGGTGTGCTATGCATTTTCAGCTCTAGATTAAAATAATCATGACCATACTGGCATGACCGGGTCATTACAGTGAGATAATCCTTTAAGAAAACGAAAATGAGCTTTCTGTTGACTGGTGTGATAGAACTTCATTCTGTATTGGGTTTAGTGTAGCTGATGTGGAAGCCATCTGGAGTGAACCTTTGAATAATACATGTGGAGGACGGTAGGAACCTGCCCTTTATGAGAACAATCGTTAAATCTCTCTAAAGAGATGTTACCTCCACAGTTTGCCAATGTGAGAGTATGTAATAAAAAATAGATATTACTAGTATCTACAGTCAAATCTTAAAAAAATAAGTTATTATTACTCACATGCTCAGTACTAATTTATGCTTCTCTTATATTTAAATACACACATAATGCAATGCAATGCATTGTGGGAAGTAACATGATACTGCCATCTTACCGGTTGCAACACAAAGGCTAATTTGGCTATTGGTATTCATGTTCACTTATGCATGAACAACTAAGATTCTATATTGTTTTTCTTCACAAAACATGACTGCGGCAGAGCAAAGTGCAAAATGAAGTTTGAAAAAGAAATGCGGAGGCAGAATCCTACCCATAATCAGTGATGACAGGGTCCAGCCCATCTTTCTCTATAATAGGTGACCTAAAAAAAGGAAACAATCTTATAGTTACTGCCACTATTATCAGTCAAGAACTTCTCAAATGACATTTTTATTTTGAGTAGATAGCATTTCTTTATCAGTTAACAGTGTGTGTGTGTGTGTGTGTGTGTGTAAATGTGTTCCAATTCTAATTGTTGTCAGTGTCACAGACAATAGATCTTGTGGGGAAACACGAGTTGATTTAAAGCGTGGCACACTCACTGGGATGGAGACGTGGGGCTGTCCAGCGAGTCTTCAGTCTTGAGTTGATCTCTAAAAGCAAATGAAAGCTTGTGAACAAAATCTGATCTTGTATTCTTCAAATAAATGCTGTTCTTTTTATTCAGCAAAGAATCCTGAAAAAGTATCGCAGTTTCCAAAAAAAATATTTGGCAGCACAACTGTTGCCAACATTGATAATTCATTACTGTTTGTTTTTCTGTATTTTTGATCAAATAAATGCAGCCTTGATGAGCATAAGAGACATCTTTAAAAAACATTACAAGTCTTACTGATCCCAAACTTTTGAGCTTTTAAATATATACATTTACTCATAAAATCAGTTTTCTGAAAGTCAGATAACAAGACTCGCTCCACATTTTGTGCCACAATACTTTTAAAATCATCTTATCCTATTGCTTCGGCACTTGTCATAAGGAATAAGACAGAAGGGACATTTTTATTAAGCAAACTTCCTATATTCTACATGTTTTTTGATAAAATAGAATATGTTTTAGGATATGAATACACTGTAGTACAAGATTACTGCCAAACGATTCACAAATATGTACATTTTCATTATTTATAACAGCTATTTATAAATTTGCAATGTCAAATAACGACTCGTAGTAGTTTGTCAAGATTTCCATTCTTCAAAAGGACAGAATGAGTCTGAGTAAAGTATAAATGCTGTACTGTTAAGATTATAAAGGTAAAACGGCGGTTGCGTGGTTGTTCTTTTCTAAATTTCATCAATGTTCTCTTTTAGTAGGGTAGAAATTCAGTTGCAGTAGTGGTTTATGTAAGATGATAATGTTACCAGCACCTCAGCTTCAATTCTAGCTGAAATTCATTGATCAGGTTGCGGTTATGAGGTTTTATGGCTTGTGGGATACGTTCCCACACATAAAAACCTCTTGTGTCAGAGAACTATTGCTGAAACTTTGAAAAGCGAATGAAGCTGCCCAGTTCGGCTGCTTGTAAACTTTGAACAAATGTGTTAATATTGCCCATAAAAGGAAGAGAATGAACCTTGGAACACTTGTTGTGGATTTCTTTAAGCCTCCATGTCACAGATCTACATACATTCACTGCACTGGTAACCTTATTATAATCACTCTAAAATAAACTTCATAGATGGGTATAGATTTGTTCAGAAACACTTGTTCAATTATATTGAACTGGACATCAGATCTTAAAATTTTAGATCAGTGGAGCTCTCTTGATTTGAGGTTATTTAAAAACAAAGGGAGTCACACCAGAGGTTTCAAGCCACATAAGCTGCAATGAGTATGTTACCTTTAACTCCATCTTAACTTGGCCTTCATACATTATCCAGCCAACCGGACACTGGGAGAACTCAGTGGACATTCAGAAGAAGCTGGAATCCTAGATGATTATCAAGTGACTGGAGATGGAGGTGGAAGGATTCTTCTAATTGTGGTGGTTCCAGCTCTTCCTCTGTTCCTCCTCCTCCTTATTAATGTGGCTCGGGTGGTGGTGGCACTGTATCAAGCTTGGGTCAGGACAACTCGGATTTGCTGAGGGCTATCGCCAGCTCCAGATCCTCCTGCTCTTGTTGGGTCAGACGAGCCACGCGCTCCCTCTCTTCTCTCTCACTCTCCCGCTTCACCCACTCTATCATGTCCTCCTCTGTGGGGTACTGCTCCACACACACACACACACACCATAACCCCATCAGATACCCTGTTATTGCACCTGCTTGAAGTAATATTTCTCATTAGAAATATTTTATTAGTCTAATCTAACCATCTAAATGAAGAGGGGTCATGCAACTATTACAGTTAGTGTAAATTATGTTTTCTAAAAGTACCAACTTTAAACGTTCAAAGACTGAGTTATGGACTAGCAAAATTGAGATCACTCGAAAATGAAAATTTGCTTAATTTACTCACCCTCAAGCCATCCAAGTTGTTGATGAGTTTGTTCCTTAAATTGGAACATATTTGGAGAAATCGACCATTATATCAAACAAACAAACAAGCAACTTTTCGTTTCACAAGATGTTAACTGATGGACTGAAATCAGGTGGATTATTGTGATGTTTTAATCAGCTGTTTGGACTCTCATTCTGACGGCACCCATTCACTGCAGATGATCCACTGGTGAGCAAGTGATATAATGCTACATTTCTCCAAATCTGTTCCGATGAAGGAACAATCTCTTCTACATCTTGGATGGCCTGATGGCGAGTAAATATTTAGCTAATTTTCATTTTTGGGTGAACTTTTTTTTTTTTATCCTACAACATACATAACAGTCCGTTAAAGATTACGGTTTTATGTAACTAAATAAATGAGATACATTTCATTTAATCTATTTAAAGGAATAGCTCAAGAATAGTTTAATTTATTATGGTTCAAATAATAAATCATTTCAATATTACACTTTTTTTTTTTTTTTCATTTCTGGGTGAACTATTCCTTTAAATTAATTGAATATAATTTAAATTGTATTTAATATTACACATTTTATTTATTTCTATCTTTACTTTTTCATTAATTTTGTATTATTGGAAGATCTAATCCTTTAAGTATTGTTTGGTCAATGTCAACATCACCAAAGCAGTTCTTCATCATCAAATAGGGGACAAATGTGGAAGCAATAAGGGAGAGAAAAAAAAAAGTGATAATGTGGTACAGCTACTGACACAGGACGATGAGAGATACAAGATGTGTGCCATGATGCAATCCATAAAGCCTTTCAGCTAACATTGGCTCACAAGCCTGCTGACACATGAGACTTCATATCAAATCACTCAAAAAATGCAAATATAGTCACCCACATGTTGTTGAAAAGAACTCTGTGGCTCACAAAATTAGAAGTTACTTAAAAATGTTCTACTTTGGGTTTGAAATGTTACAAAGAAATGAGAAATAATGACTAATGAATAATAAAACGATGAAACTTCATTTTTGACGTTACTGTTTATGATGTACTCCTGTGTCAAGGCCTGGATTGCTCATATAGCCCATCATGCTGAACATGCAGGCATTTCACACAGATGTGAAGGTGTGGACAACCATGGATGGAGAGATGTAATCTCAACAGTTAGCTGGTAAGCATCTCAACACACAGAACACCAGACCACGACTACTTGACATGACAACAAAAACAATCTCAAGATGCCTCTCCTGAGGTCTCTTCATTAGCAAAAAGTCATTTTAAAATATCAGAGAATTGTCATGATGAAGCTTAATTTATTTGATGCATCATCTGATAAAGAAAGCTCACAGTGGGAAA